CCGAATTCAAAATAAAGTTCATTTCCTGGGTTTCTTACGCTTCCTTCCAGTTCCCCCTGTCCTGCCCATTCGGGCATGCTCAAGGGGTTGGAGCTCCAAAGATTTAGACCTTTCATACTGTCGTCGAAAGGCTTTAGCCCTTGCATTGGTTGCCAATTGAAATTCTGCGAGGACTGCGAGTCCTTCATTGATATATATTCTCGCGGTCTTTGCCGCCTGCCACCTACCTGCTATGAGCAGTTTGTCTAGCGACCCGTGTTTTGCAAAATAGGAGGTGGCACCTCCCCTTCGCAGGCTGTAGGGTCTAAAAGAATGCTCACTGAGACCTGTTGCCTCCAAGTACTCAGAAAATTTCTTTCGCCAGACATGAGCGGCTTCGCAGAGTGAAGGTCTCGAACTTGGGGTGTTTTTCCATTGCCACAGGCGTCTTAAAGTGTCTTCTTCCCGGATTGTGACGCTTTCGGCGGCGCCTTGACGCCTACCACCTTTGGTCAAGCCAAGAGAAACTATTGCTACACTTCGAGGCCCCTTCTGTTCTATGTGTGCCTTCTTTATTCCCAATAGTTCACCAGTTCGAAGAAGTCCATGAAACCCCAACAGGAGCGACAGAGCAAAGAGGTCATCTTTCTTGAACAGGCTGTAGCCGACGAGTATGTCTAAAGCTTCTGTGGGGAGTGGTGGCGCGCGACTCGGAATCTCCGTGGAAGACCATGTTTTCATCAGCCTCCAGGAGGATGGGAGCCTCCCCTTGGCCGACGGCCTATAGTCTTGGACTGACGCAATCGAATCACAGGCTAATGCTCTTCCTTCTCCACTTTCCCAAAGGAACTCAATGTAGTGGCTCAACCAAAAATCAAGCGTAGCGGGATCATCTGGAAACCTTCTGTTTTCTTCTCTGAGGAAGTTGCGGAATCTTTCAAGAGCCTTGTCATATCGTGCACGGGTAGCGGGTTGAACTGCTAGGTGACGCAAGGGCCCCAATGCTCGTCTCTGCTGTTGTCGGGATGCTTTGTCTTTGCCTTCTACATATGCTTTGCTATGACTCACCATTTCTTCTTCACGGGGCGCCTCGAGGGCGCATCAGCGGGGTTTTCTTTCGTGTGAACATAAGCCCACACGCCATGTGAGCCACTGGCAAGGAGCAAAGCATTAATCCGACTCATCGTTCGACGAAGCTTTCTGCTGCTGCTGCGTCCCCTAGACAGGGAGTGGAGACACACCAAACTGTCTACTAAGTGCACAAATTTTGTCCGCAAGGCTTTCCTCTTCACAATGCGCCAGCGGAGGGAAGTGAGTACCGCCCTCATCTCCAGCACATTGATGTGCTCCGGAGACCCCTTCCAGGGCCATCCCATGACTGTTTTCCACTTCCACAAGGCTGATGGCAGGCTGGCCCGCAACCGATGGTAGCGAAGTGTCTCTTCACTGGGTGCTTGAATCATGATATCCTCTCCTTTTAGGCTGACCATGTTTAGGAGTTTGGAGACAAGCTCGTACTCCCCTTCGGTCCCTGCCCGCTTGACTCGCCTGATGCTCTGCCGTTGCAACACTCCTCCAACCGTCGTAGCGGCTCCTGGTCTTGTTGCCTCAACTGCCTCCTGGGGTGTCTTTGCCTGGCAAAGTCCTAGTAGGTGACCAAGTTGCGAAAGAAGCCACACCACCACGGTCACGTTCCAGCTGTTGCCTATCAAAGACCTTCTTTCGTCTCCATGAGCTTCGCTCCCTTGCTGCTGTTTCGGCATGCAGTGGACTGTGTAGTTGCGGGGGAACCCCATGATGGTCTCACGTTCCTGTATGGATGGAATGCGGCAAGTACCATTCCCTTCCTTCACTAGCAAGCGATGAGAGTACTGGTATGGCGGGAAGCGAAACTTGTCCTCTTCCCATGCTCTCCTTTCCTCCGGCTTCAACTCTTCCAGGCCTGCTGGCCTCCTTCCCGGCCATGGTCGTGGTCGAGAGGTGGTAAACGTTGGGAACGGTTCCTCAGAGGTCTTGACACAACCGGGTTCCAAGAAGTCCTTGGGATCGATCACGGCTTGTAGTTCAACCTCCTGATATGATGCCATCCCACAATCAACTCGTGGGTGAAAGCGAACACCAGGGCCAGGTTGCAACTCCCAATCTAGCCAGTAGAGCCGAGGGCGACGTGCTAGCGACACTCCACTGGCCTCAATCCTGACGGGGGTGTCTTCAAAGTCACGCGACATGATCTCACGGTCTTTGCGATCCATGGAGGCTACACTTTCAGCGAGGTACCTCACCTGCGCCCAAGGAAAATGGGTCTTCAGGAGCTCCTTTATGCGACGCACATGACT